GTTATTATTGCAGGCAATTGTCGTTCGTTTCTCGACTGGCGTATAAATTCTCGTAGGTGTCTCGACCGCGAGGTACGAGTATCTTCGATGCGATCTTCGCCAATGTCGTTACGCGTCGGCGATGATTTACCCAGCGTAAATCAATTTCGTGGGTAACACGGGTGTGAGAGGGTGGGGCATCGTTTTGCACCGTTCCCCGGATTGCTAGATCGCTGTTGATAGCTGATACACGCATCTCCATCTCTAATTGAATCGATGATCCTTATCTGTTCGCGAGAAAATTGATATTTACTGCTTTCGTAGTCCAGTCGAGGGTTTCGAGGTCCCGTTGCAATTGCCAGGGCCGATTACACTATTTTTTACTCGGGTTTTCAACGCGATAATTATAATATCTCAGTCCTCTCTTATCCTGCGATATCCAGTGAAATGGATTACAAGAAATTATGGTTTCTTTGGTACAAGAACAATCTTTGGCAACTAGTTGTGCGAATAGTTGTCTACCTACAGTTAAATATAAGAACATTAGGTACTTGAGAATTTAGATAAATTCTTGAGTTAAATTTTTTTGTTGTCACTTAAAGTGACGATCGTCGAATACGACAGTTAGTTTGTGCATGTGCTGTAATTACTTGCAGCAAATGTTACAAGTTTATTATCTTCTACGCGGTACAGTACTTCAAGTTGGTTACGACGTCTGATCGGAGTGGGGCGTTTCAGGTGCAATTTGTTTCGCAATCTAATAGGTGAAAGGTGTAACTTACTTATCATACAATGCGTTATGCACCGTAATGATTGCAACGTGCAGACTTTTACTGCCTTTCTCCGCTACCTTTTTGCTCGATGCTTAGACACGTGTGCAATCCATTACTCTGCAGACAAATGATTAGTTTTTTTCTATGATTAGGTGTTTCTTCCTCTCGACATTTCAAAATTAAACTTTTTGCTCCACAGTGTGTATTACATATCCCAGCATAGCTCTGAACGTGAGTTCAATTTTCTCTCTATAAATGATATTTCATGTTTTCGTTCAGAGTTGCAGCTTTCTCTAACCAGATCCAGTACAACTCGAATGTCTCCCATGTGTTACGCGAAGGACAAAAGAAAATTCATGTTCGTAGACTCCGTTGAACTTAAAGTGTTACGCGTAACGTGGTGGCACGAACGACATGTAGTCCTGGGACTGAAGCCTTTCGACTTAGGTCACATCCGCGCGATTTCCTCGCGTTCTCCGCAACGCTATCGAGAGCGGGGCAGCAATCTCGCGATACTTTCGACAAAACAATAAGGTCGACGGCATGTAATGAGGGAGGAATCCGCAATCGAGCGTGACGAAGAAGACGGAGAGGTTGTCGAGGCGGTTTTCTACGATATCCGCGACCGACAGCTCCGTTCACCTCTTTTCTCCTCGCTCCTGCGTCGCGACACCTATCCTTGCTTGTCATTTATCGCTTCCAGCGTTCCCTGGTACTAGAATCTGGACGATGCGGTATATCTCGCTTGTAGATCGATTCCATGTGAAGCGATCCAATCGCTAGTTAACTCGATCTATTCCGTAAAATGTTAAATGATGGTTTGCAAAGATTCTGGTACTAGAATCTGGACGAAGAAACATCTATTAGTTAAAGATCGATTCGATGTGAAGTGACCCTATCACAAGTTGAGCTGGTGCAATTCTGTAAAGCTCTAATCGACAGTTTGCAAAGATTCTGTCTTCTCCTTAATGGGTAGGCCAACAAATCAATCTCCCGTCAATTTCTCGAACAGTCAATTGTATGAATTATTGGAAAAAGCATCATTAGATGACCGTCCCACGTGGTTTATGCATGACGTTGCACGGAGCCATTTCAACTACGTAGTCGGACAGTTCTCGAACGATTTTCTAACAGATGGTTAGGTCGTGCATGACCTATCGGATCCCGCCGTTTCTCCTGTTTCTTATCTCTCAACTGCTACGCTTATCTCCATACTTTATTAGCCCCATTATCGGATAATTGATACCAATTGCAGCGAAGCTATCGGTACTCCGCGACGCGTAAACCCGCTTAATTGATTGTAATGTTGCTATCGGATCGATTCGGAACACCGTTCGAATTTATTATCGCGTCTTTATGGTTCTTAATCGTTGAGGAGTCCTGGACGCGCATACTTGCCGCGATCTTATGCAATGGTGGATTTCGCAAGTGTAGTTCGCTCTAAACCGTTGGGTGTTTTTTAATCTGTCTAGTTTAAATTGTTGCTTTTGAAGATAAGGTTGCTGGTATGTGAATTTATACTGTTTGTTAGTATTCAGGACAGGAATTTTTTCGTTATATAGCACTTAGGCGTAGAAAATATACTTAGAAGATTGATCCACTTGCAAATAAAGAAAAATTGCCAATTTATGTGAAAAATTCACTCACTCGTTGCCGCAATTTTTGCCTAAAGTTTAAAGTACTTCACGTAGGATCCTGTCAGAATTTCGAAGTAGCGAAACAGTACTAACAGTATTGAACAATTACACAGTCGCGTGGGCAGGTCCGTTGTCGAGCGATAATCGCGAATCCATTGTTTCGGTCGATTCGTCTATTGGTAACGGGACTGGCTCGTAAATCTTCGCAGGCTCATCATAGCGGGAAACGAACCCCACTGACAAACCAGAGCCCTCGGTGTCTCTGTCAGTGATTTCGTTAACGACGCAACGATAACGGGTCGTTGCTTGTCAATTGGAATTAGCTTTCCCACGGACGTACAACGGTCGTACCCGATCCTCCCGCGATCTCGTGCAACTAACGATTCTCTTAGCCGACAGGGACACCAGATATCCATTCACGTCGAGATTGGTTAGCTTACGGATAGTCGATGGTAACGAGCATCGACGTGAACGTCGCGAGATGACTGCGTAACTGTATTGTCGTGACATCCTGCGTACCGTATTACGCGGGCATCCTCTGCGTTCATCCTGCGGCTACCGTGGGAGTCGCTCGACCAGGGACTGCCGTACTCGAGGAAATTTATTAATCGGGAGCTGGATCGTTCCGATGCTGGACGGGAACGGTGCATCAGGGGACGAATTAAGCGACAATTAAACGGAAGAGTCTACAAGGACTATAATTTTAATTTAGGGGATCTCGTTGAAGACACTACTCAACAATTTTAATTTTCGGAAGTTCATAAGATCCTCACTCCAATAATTAGTCATTTAATTATTCAATTGATTCATAAGATTCTGACTTTCACGACTTTCAAATCAGAGTAGAACTATCCTCTTTAAAGAAGTACACTTAAAAGCATTTCATTTACAATCAGGGTTTAGCAATGCCAGCGAAAACTTGAAATGCTTTCCCGAAAGGATGCTATATCCTTGCCAATATCTACTTGGCGTTTTATCATATTCCCCGAGTGCGTGTTCCTCCGAACAAAGCAAGCTCAATTAGCTCGGCTACGTTATCGTCGAACAGATTTTTGCGATCGAGCGCCGCTTAGATGGGCTCTGGGGATCGTTCGAGGAGATTAGAGTTCCGCCGCGGTGCAAAGCGCAGTTGTGCTTTCATGTTACGTCTCTTTTATGCATAAAGTGCACGGGTATATCGCAAATAGCCTTTGGACACTGTCGGGTATAGTAACGGTGTGCCTGATTGCGAGCGATATGTTCTGTGAGATATGGCCTACTACGAACATCCTGGAGCGTTGTCGATGGTCACGTTTCCGCGATCCGGACATCACGCTCCCTTTCTACTCTCTCGTGGCAGAATTCTTCGCGAAACGAACAATGTTTTCGCGGGAACACAATACCTCGGCGCTAGAAATTAATTCAAAGACAAGATAGAGCGGTTTCCAGATCTCTTAGCAGCTTGATTTCGTAATCTCACGCGATCTCTCGCTTGTTTGCAGTCAGCCTCGGATTTTAACTCTGTTGCAATTGCAACGTTCATAGAGTCTTCAATATTAGGTTTACGGAGTATGATTTTCAAATTCAGAAGGATTTATAGAAACGGTTTATATCTTTCGCCAATATGCTGATTTTTATGCATATTAAAAGAGAATCATATATCCAAATTGATTTTTGTTCAAGCTTCCTGATTAATTTCAGTAAATCGACTTCACTTGGCATTACTTCAATAATAGAAATCTGATCAGAAATCACTGTGAACCTAGTGTCAAAAAATATAAATTGTAACGTTTGTAGATCGTGAGTCATTTAAGAAGTACAGAGATCAATCAACCCATCAACATCATGTTCAAGATATCTAGCGAGTTGTCAAATTGCGCGAATCGATGTCGCAAGACGGAATTTATTTCTTCGTGTTGAAAAGTGGCCATCAATCTCGACCTATTCATCAAAATCACGGAGATCATAATTGTGTTATTCCACGTTTCTACACCTGACTTTGGAAAGCGTTCCCCGCGTCATTCGGAATTTATGCCCACAAGAAGTGCAACGCTCAATCATCGGACCGTGTAACGTCATTTGGACGCTTTCGTGCCGCGTGTCCGTAGAAAAATTCGCCAAGACCGCCATATGTCTTCTCCAAAGAGACAGCAATTTGAATTACTCAGACTGCTCGCCGCGAACAGTGATAAATAAAATCCGTGCTCCCCATCGTAACGGAAATTTCAGCAATTTGTACGTAAGCATGAACACTCCTACTTTTTTTTGTATCGCTATACGACGTTGACAACAACTTCGGCCATCTCCGTTCAGTCGAGGTCACTTTTCTCGGTTGGAATTCCGTTGAATCGTAAATTGTTGGAATGTCTTTCGTGTTTCGAGTAACGAGAAAAAATAATTCCCAACTCTATCTGACATTCATTATCTCAGATTTCACTTTCGTGCGCGTAATAAATTAGAATGACAGTCGCGTGGTCGTTCTACGGCAGTGGTGGCTTTCCACGAGTCGCGAAACCGCGCTCCAGCATCTCGCGTGTTATTAAGCGTTTCGACGCTGGGTTTTCGCGTGTTATAAATATTCAGGTGAAACTCGCGAGTTGCGCGAGTGTGCGTGCAGCGTGCGTGTGCTTACTTCGTCAACGTTTCCAGCGAGGACGTGTATATTGTACCGCCTACGTCGATGTGAACCGGGGCCGTGTACCTGGAAGCAGCCGCCACGCAGGGTATTCCGGTCATCTTCTGGTTGTAGGCCGGCGCGGCCGGCGTCGGAGGCGTCGGCGATGAGGAATTCGACATTGTGGGCGACGTGGCCGGCGAACTGCTTGGCGACAGCAATCTGACAGAGATACTTTCGACATTAGCCACCATCAGGCACCATTCCCTCTGACGTTTGTAGGAAAAATGATGTGGATGCAGGTAACACGATTTTTGAAAAACATTAATAATTATACTTCGGATTTTTATGGATTTATAGAAAATTTGAATGTGAAAGAAACTAAAAAATGCACACATCCCCATCGTTCTTTGTTTGAGATATCGAATAAATAATTCATCCAATTATTTGATCCACATTTTTGAAACTTTATTGGTAGACGTTTGTATTTAATATTATCTCGTGTTCTCGAACAAATCGCAACAAGCCTACTTGCATTATACGATGCATCGTGCGTCTCTTTTCAGCTATGGAACATAAATAAGGGTATATTTACCTCATTTTAATTTGAGCGCTAGGGAACATATTGCGTTGTGGCAGCTCCGCCTTCGCCTCCTTTCCGTCGGCCTCACATTTCCGTCTGCAATTAAAACACCACGTTACGTCCTGTGTATACAACGTAATTTCTTAGAGAAAAGACATATTAATTCATGCATTGAATCATTCTTATTCATTATTAATCCTTAAATGCCTTAATGTTACCATTGCATAATGTTCTTTTGAACAAAAGTTAAAAAAAAAATAAACTTCAGCTGTCAAAATTGTTCAAATAATAAATACATAGTTATTGTTTAAAATTTAATTTGGAAAATCAGGCTTCTAAGGGTTAAATACGAGATCAAATTAAATACGAGCGCATAACTTGTTTACCACAAGTTTCATTAAGGAACTGACTTCGTATAGGACAATGTGTAGGACTTCATACACCTATAACAAACACATCGTACCTTAACACTCATTTTTAATCATTGTACCTCTACCATAAGGCCAACCACTAAAATTCCGAAAGAAATACGAAATACGAAAGAATCCTACCATGATTAAATATTCCAGTGCTACAGAACGTCATCAAAGGTTTTGAAACACCTTCTAGTCCACCCCCGCGTGAAACTGCGAGTGCATGCGGTCAGCACGTGTTCCTCGATGCATTTTTCCCGGCCGATAATCCCGATTGTCCACGTTTCGCGCTCGGACGCAGTTGCAGCTGCCATTTAGAAGTCAAAACGTTGCTCGTTCGCCGCTGACATTAAGCACGGAACTTTCCCCTCTAACGAGGTCGCGTTCGCGCCGATTTCAATCGCCCAGAGCTTGATTTAATTTATCGACGCTCACGGTTGGTCGCTGGCGACGATAAGGCTGATTTAGCCGCGCATTGTTTTCGGTCGAGCCGACGACCCGTAACGACTCCGAAACCCCCCTCGCCTACTCCACCACGTGGTCGGTTTAACCGGAACATTAACTCGTAAATTTCATACGTATTAATAAGGCAATTAACGGGCGAAACAATATTTAACGAGCGTCCACTCGCGGCCGAGGGGAAAACCAAACTCGACTGGGTTCGAGAAACGAGAAAAGTGGAGAGGCCACGGTGGTTTAAAAAGATCCCGAACTCATTTCCAGCCTGTGTACACAACGAAAACTCCTGCGCTTTGTTCCTTGGACGATCCTCCTTCCTGTGGCTGAGCCCCGAATTTTTCCGCTCGGGATGGCTCCGGGTTAGCTGGAGAGAGCCGGATGGAGAATTAGGTAAAGGAAATTGATTTGTGTCGGTTGACACAAGGAGTTGTACGAACGAGTTTCAGGAGGAGGAAGACTATGGCGCCTAGGAACTTTCGTTTGTTGACCGATTGTTCTCTTTCGGTAGAGCTAACCCCAAATAATGGTCGAGAATGTTAATACCCGGGCTACTTTTCGGGCTCGGTGGTGAATTTAGGCACGAGACTGCGGAGACCACAGCCTTAGGGTTGTACTAGCTACTCTCGTCGGGTGGAGGGCTCGTGGAGATTAATTCGAGGCAATTTGACGAGGTCAGGCACGAGCATGAAACGCTAGCTTCTGTGATGTCTACGTTCTAGTGGTAAACAAGGTTGTTGTTCGACTTTTTCATCTTCTAATGGTGAAAGGATCTTGTGGCCATTGTAGTGGAAGGGTCTCTTTGAATATCACCTCTTGTTTCTATAGTTTTACTTGAGTATAGATTGGTCCAATGTTTAGTTGCACTCGAATCAGTGGATGGCTATTGTTTAGATTTTTCTTGATACTGATTTGAAGATTGCTGGCTACGCAACGACCTAGCGCAACCAGCCAGTCCTGGCTCGAGCTTATGCTCTCGCGGCTGATCACGCGCTAATCGGGTCCTGTGATTTTCGGTAATAATTTAAAAATGAAGTCTCCACCGACGTTTTTGCAAAGGAAATTATTGTTCAGAATCGTCTCAGCTACCCCCATTTCTGGCTCCTACACGAGTTTTGGGACACCCTGTATATCGCGGGGGTATTAAATAATCGAGCCGAAGTACCGTCGACCACGAAACTCGATACGGAAAGAAGGTTCTCGTCGCGGCCGCGATATTTATTTTCAGCCTGTGAAGTCTGCGAGAGTTCCTGCGACGACGTCAACGGGGACGAAGGCGAGGGGGACTGGTTTCTCTTTTCTCCTCCTTTTTCCCTTCTTATTCGTCCTGGTCGCGGTGCACCAGCATGCGCCGTGGCGCATCGCCGCCGGGGCGACGCGAAACGCGATGCAACGGTTTTTCTTGGTCGCTCCCAGACGGAGACTGAGCAAAATTCTCGCGTGGATGAAAAATTTCCGATGGTAAACTAACAAGGAACGAATCTTAATCTTAAAAGTAGTGAAACGATGCATGGTTCACGGCTAGTTGGTCCTAATGTATGGATGAGTGAGTATCGTGGCTGTTTGGTACCATCTTTGTTCCTCGGAGAAATTTTAGTTAAATAGAGTAATAAACAAATGGTTTATTTGGAAATTTGATATACATATTCCAACTACCCAGCATCAACTCGCACAGGATTGATTGAGCCGAACTCTTTTCCTAGAATAGATAAGTACCACTAGGAAAATTAACGCGTAACGCGATGAGAAGTCAGTTCGTCGATACGTTGCTCGAAAAGTGTCTCATTCGTTTCTCTTCTAAAATAAGAATTTCGATGTAAAGGTCTCTCCTAATAGAGCCAACGAAGTACCGTTCACATCTGCGTGGCCTCCATAGCGTAATAGATCTCTAATGATCTATCTAATTGACCCACATTTTAATCTCTATCTCGAGCCACAAATAAAGAACGCCCGACACGGTGTATTAGACACAGACCCGCGAGAGAGTCGATACTGGAACGTTTGATAAATAGTCGAATCACAAAGATACCGACACGAAGAAACGTCGCAGCGATCGGCGCAGTAACGATCATCACGATTCGAATGCCTCTGGGCGGTCGACTCGCGTGTATGCAAGTGCCACTAATAAAGATGCAGTATACCGATGCACGCGTAATTAACCTGGTATCATGATCGCGCGGCAAATCGTGTTCGAGAGTGATCTGAAAGAGGTTAATTATCGACACGCGGTATTCTAGATTTCATGTGTTTTTAGCTCCCGACCTGGTTCATTGGAAAGCAGGTGGATGTATAGGGTGGTCCACTCGAATTGCCTTTGCTATTTTTAAATATTATCTTTAGTACTTAATACATATCGTGTAATGTAAATGATGTCAAAGGTGTCATAGTATTTTAATATTATTCAGCATCATTTTTAGACTTATGAATATTACAATTAAATACATTGAAATTCACAAAGTTGACTGCAAGACTATCATTCTCTTTTTCAGGTCATACATTTTAGTTTACAGTTTATTGAAATGTTTGTACTTCTGAAGGTGATTCAAAACAAAAAATCATCATTTTGCTCTCTATACAAATTTGTATTCTCTACTTCTTCTTAAACAGTGTTTGTTTTAAGACTTCCAAGTATCGCTTTTTATTACTTCACATAACGTAATTTCTAAAGTGGCCAGCTCTTTGACGTTTCGCATCGCGGAAAAGAACTGCGTCGCGTCTCGTGTAAGATTCGCAGCGTGGAAGCGAGGATCGCCAACATACAAAGATAGGACACGGTCGCGCATTACGATAATGAACGCAACGCCCCGGGGGCGTTTGCTGAACGACACTTTAATGCACGCAGATCACATCGTTGAAGTGCCTCGGACATAAAAGCAAATAAAAAAAAAAAAAAAATTAACGCGATGAGGCGTCGCGGTGCGAAATTTCGAAAGCAAAAATTAAAACGGTGCCAGGCAGTACTGGCCAGCGAGATGAAAAATTACGGGCAGGTGACGTTTTTGTTATTGGAGGAAAATTGCGAAAAAATTTTTATACTAAAAGTGAGGAAAATAGGAGCTGTACTGGCTCAGGACTAATGTGCCTGTAGTATTAGAAATAATACCAGAGGGTGTTCGAAGCACTTGCTGTTTGGTTCCACGAATCAATTTTATTATTTAATAACATATCATAAATGTAATAATAGAATCAATAATGCAAACGATTCTACTACATATTTGAGTTATATAACTAATATCATTCCAATTTGCCAGTACTTCCCGAACCAAATCAAATTCCACCTTCTATATGACTTTTTTACTTATTTTGTTTGCTCTACACAAGGAACAACTATCCTCGAATAATTTCAAACAATTCCAAAAACAGCTGAAAAAGTTATTCATCTTCGATACTGTATACAGCGGACTGTCCGCCCTTGTCCGTGCGAGCGTAACTGTAACCAAACGCGGAAGTAGAATGTGCCCGATACTGGGCAGACAGCTACGCAGTAGCATGTAAAGGACGAAGGCGCATTCTTGTTGCATAGGTGATCGTCGCAGTCACTTTGTCGCGTTCTTCTGCGACATTTGTGTGCAGAGCGGCAGCGTGTTTCCAAGTGACCAGCTGCATGCACGTGCGCCTTCAAGATGAGCGTCGCCCGAGGGTACGGACGAGGAGGCGTCTAACACGTTCTGAGGACACGCGCGTGTCCTCAGCGCGTGTACGACGTCGCTGGCTAGAAGTCCACCAGTTAAGTTAGCGTTGGACGCCGCAGAATCGCCGCGGGGCAGTCAGCGTATGCAAATTTGCCTGTTGTCGAGCGCGGGACTACGCATTTCCGGAAAACGTGTCGCCGCGCGTGAAAATCCCGTCGATCCGTCGACGATACCAACTGGAAATCGACGCGAAAAACAACGTTTCCTACGGAAAGTCTTTGGTGTTTGCGTGAGGCTCGAAACCGTGGAAGAAATCGCGAATACTACTTGAAGGAAAGACTCGAATAAAACGCTGAAAATAATGGCTTTATTCACAAATTTATTACGAGTATGTACGCGTTTGTATACGTAATTGAGATTGCAGGAAATAATTTCTGTATAAAAATTCGTTAGAGTTTTTATGTGGTTTTCGTATGGCTTGTTCTTTGAGGTACTTTGCGTGACGTCTAAGTTCTCTTAGAATAATAGTTTTTGAAAATCTAGAATGTTTATTTATGTAATAAATAGAAATCTATTTTTTTTTTCTTGAATCTCT